GTGTGTGTGTGTATGGGTGTGTGTGTGTGTGTGGGTGTGTGTGTGTGTGTATGTGTGTGGTGTGTGTGTGTGTGTGTGTGTGTGTGTGTGTGTGTGTGTGTGTATGATGTGAGGGAGTGGGAGGTATGTGTACCACAGCACAGGTGTGGAAGTCAAAGAACCACTTTGCATGAGTCAGTTTTCTCCTTCCACCTTTATGTGGGTTCTGGTGATCGAACTTGGATCTTCAGGCTTGCATGGTTGGGTGGCAAGTGCCTTTACTCACTGAGCCATTTCGACAGCCCCCAAACCTTTAAATTGACTTGAGTATTTCCCAAATATTATTGACCAATGCATAAAATAATATTGTTTAAGAACTCCCCAGTGGAGAGCAGCAGAGAAGCAACATATACCTCTGATGGGAATCTCCCTTAGGGGAGCAGAGCAGAAGAAAAAATCTTTTCACTGGTGCTGTAGCAGACTGATACATTTCTGGAGCAGTTTCCCCCATAGTTGAGTAAATCAGAAAAGTGACAATTTGGGCTGGAGCTAAGAAGAAACGATTATCATTGCTTGGAAACTTCCTAGTGGAGAAGAGAAGAGAAGCAATGGACACTTATGCCGGTAAACTCTATTAGCAGAGTGGAGCAAATCTCATTTTAATGGTTCTCTCTCTGAGAGTAGCTGGAGTGCTTCATCCTGCTCAGAGAACCATTCCCCACTGGAACACAACTTCATGTACAGCCTGACATCTTGACTGTCGGGATACATTTTCCTCATGCCTGTGGCTTTCCAGGATACCTTCCCTTTACAGCTGTAGGTATAGCCTGACTTGTGACACTCAGGGTAGAGTTGTTTTCAGAGTCCTAGGTATCCAGAATACATTTTCCCCAAATATTCAGGAATAGCTTGACTTCCAAACAGTGCACCTTTCTCTTCAGAGGTGCAGGTATTCAAGACATCTTCCTTTGAGTTTTAGGTATACCCTGAATTATGACAGTTGGGAAACCTTTCCCTCCATAGCTGTAACACTTGCACAGTGATTTTAAATGATTGTGTATCACTTTTAGATTTATGCTTCTCTTCAAGTGCATGAAATAACTAATTCAGGTCTAAAACTTATGGATTTGTATTATTTTCTCTCCTGTTTCTGTTATCATATCTATGCCACATTATAAAAGATTTTATTTCACCCTTGGTTTCAGTGAGATACAGGATCATCATGAAAGTTGCATGGCAGCTAAAACAGGGTGTCTAAG